TATTCTGAGACCTGAAAATAAATCTAACATTTCAACTGAGAAAGTTTCATATATGAAAAGATCTGTAGCATTTATATGGCCACAGATTTACTCTGCGTGATTTATATGATTTATGTTAATAGTTCCTGATTCTGGGAGAATCAGTTAAAATTACAGTTTTAAAGTTGATAGCTTTGAGTTGGTATTATTGCTTACTTTTCTGCCCTTTGAATATGAAAGTGCTGTTGGTAATTGCAAATATATTGTTTTGTTCTTTCTTAGAGGTTTCTACCTTTGAGTTATTTTAGGCCAGAGAAGTATTAAGTGATTTAGATTTCATCCAGTCTGGGTTTTATTCCTTGAACATTCTTTGGCTTCTGAAAACACCAGGTTAACAACTTTTTAAAAAATCCCAGTGTCACTTAAAATCCATAACCACTAGATGGCGCTAGACATCGTCAAAATCAGGCCAGTTCTGTCCAAAGGAGACTGTTCCTTTGGCCTGTAGTTGATGTGAAGGGTTAACGCTGGGGGCTGAAATCCTGTTTTAAGTAAAAAGTGAAAAGAAGTGGTCTTCCCTTAGAGATGAATGTAGTTTTGGTCTGTGTCTGTCCATCCGTTTGCTGAAGCACCACCGTCCCTCCACCGTCTGGCTCTTGGAGGCCTGTGATCGAGAACTAGGGGAGTTTTGAGGTCAGCACTGCCATGTGGTAGCAGAGGCGGATGGAGGGGTCTGTGCAGCATCTGCCTGTCCCGATGGAGGGAGTAATTAGATTTGCATTAAAATTCAGGCCTTTGAAAAGGGGGGAAGTCGAAAGATGGAAGGGTCTCTTAACTGAGGAAGTCTCTGTTCATAAAATGAAAGGGAAGTTCAGAGGCGTTTATCTGTCCTGTGTGGTGTGATTAAGGCTCCGAGAGCGCGGTGCCTTTTTCATTGTGCGCAGGGTTTGCACATAGAAAACACCGCAGATGGATTTCACAAGATTCAAGTAGCACTTCCACTTGCCCGCTGCTCCTCAGTTTTGAAGATGGCTTAGAGTCTGTTGCGAGCCATAATGAATTGTTTTTACTTGTAGTTTTTCAAAATGAAAAAGGGAAAAATACTAAATTCGGAAAAGATGTGAATTCTTTTGGAAATGAACGTTTATAGATAGATTTAATTCTTGATATTATGTGGGTTACATGAGGAAATTTGATACCTAGCGGAAATTAAAAAAAAAACCCGTAAAACCCTTATATTGCTTTTAATTTGCATCTCTCTTTGTTATAGATAGTAATTACTCAGTCGTCATATAACTGTTCTTTCTAATATTGCTATTTATCTTAAATTCCGGACTCCTATATAAACTTTGAAGTGGGTCTCCCATCGGGGCTGTTGTCCAAAATAACTCCTTTCTGAGCATCCTTAGTTTCTAAACCTGTGAAGGCCACTAATGTATATATTGTTTTTGTTTGTATTTAATCCTGTCACATTTACTCTATAAGTAAAGTATAAATTTTGAAAAGGGAACTAGTTCTCGAGGCACAATTTTGTGCTTTAGGATATTTATTTACCAAATTTTGAGGTTCTGTAACGATTGATGATATCTCAATATTCATTAGGGCATAGTTTGCTCATTCTATAATATTAACTACTGATTATCAAAATACCAACAAGTAAAAATTTACATGGTTCTGATAAATTGCCCTTTATTTTTATTTCAAAGACTTTATTTGGAAACAGTTTAAAACATGCACAAGTTACAAGACCAAGAATAGTAT